TCTACCACACTGGATATGTGGCAGCTTTAAAAACCAAGGCACTCCTGACTTTAAAGAGGTGGCCGTTGAGTCTGAGTTCGCTGCTGGTGTGACTGTTAACAGGCACTGAGCATCAAATGGAACATTCTTCCCCACAGAGAGAGGACTAAACAGTGCAAGTGATGTTTGCAACATGTGAATTACACTGTAATGCCAGAACTGGTTTAATTCCGCTGGTCTGCCATTGTCACAACTCAGCACTTCCACTGTGTTTACCTTCCACCCAGCCACCCACAACTTCTGCTGTAAATATCATCTCAAGGAGAGTCTCCTGCTGGTTTATTGGAAAATTGCCATGACAGTAAACTCTGGATTGTAAATCTTACTCCCCTCTTCCCTACCCACAATCCCTACGTTTACAACATGTCAGCAGCTGTGTTTATGTAGATTACTGGAGTGGGAGGATGTTACAGGGAAGGGTTGGGCACTTTTTGTGATGGTTTAAAATAGGTTGATCTGATATCTGCTTTACCATCAGTGTTTTTATAATAAAAAGCTTTGTATTGTCTCAGTGAAAGCAATGTATCTTGAAGTAAGACTGGTGCATCAGCTGACCCTGAAGAGTGACTGGCACAAGGCAGGGAACCCCCTTCTGAAACCAGTAGCTGGAAATGAAGGTTGAAGTAACTGGAGGGAGCTGGCTCACAGACCAGTGGAAATGATCCACTTGGGTCAAATTGATCGTAACATGAAGCTGATTAAATCAATCTTCTGTTATCAGTAAAATCATAAGAAATACAAGCAGGAATAGGCCATTACCCATTGAGTCTGCTGTGCCATTCAGTAAAATTAGTTGGTCTGATTGTGCTGTCAACTTCCACTTCCCTCCTTTAACTCCCTCGTATCTGACTGACTCAGCCTTAAATATATTGAATAGTGCAGATTCTCTCACTGTCTGTGGAAGAGAATTCCAGACATGAACTACCCTCTGAAAGAAGAAATTCCTCCTCCTCACCTTTCTACCTTAAATGAGAGCTAGGTCCCCCAGTTGTAGTCTGTCCTCTCAATATCCACCCTGTCAAACCCCATCAAATGTTACATGTTTCCATTAAATCACCTTCGGTCTCCTAACGTTCAGACTATAGGCCCAACTTGCTCACCATTCCTCCCTCATCGCAGAAATTCCCCTCGAATTACGAGACTGTAAGATATAGAAGCAAAATTAGGTCTGCTCTGCCATTCGCCAACACCGGCCCCTCCACTTCATACTTGGTTAGTGATAGTGATTGCATTCGATTATGACTGATATAATTTTCAATCCCGTTCTTCTGCCTGCTCCCTTGTGACCCTTGATTCTGTTGGAGCCCATAAGGACTGCAGATGCTGGAAGCCAGAGTCTATTGTTGTGAGGTTGGAAAGGCACAGCAGGTCAGACAGCATCAGAAGAGCAGGAAAGTCAATGTTTTTGGCCGAAACCCATCGTCAGGACTGCCTCAGCAGTATGTTTTGGGATGAGGGTGTCGCTGGCTAGGGCAGCATTTATTGCCCATCTCTAATTTTTAAGAGTCACATGTAGGCCAGACCAGGTAAAGATGGCAGTTTCCTTCCCTAAAGGGCATTAGTGAACCAGATGGGTTTTTCTGACAATCAACAATGGATTCATGGTCATCATTAGATTCATAATTCCAGCTATTGTATTGAATTCAAATTTTACCATCTGCCATTTGAACCCAGGACCCCAGAATGTGATCTGGATCTCTGGATTAACAGTCCAGCAATAATACCACTAGGTCATCACCTCCTCTGCTGTCATTCTAGCCCTCTCGAAATGAATGCTATGATTGCATTTGCCTTCCTAACTGCCAACTGAACCTGTATGTTAGCCTGAAGAGAATCCTGAACAGGGATTTCTAAGTCCCTTTGTGCTTCAGATTTCAGAAGCCGTTCTCTGTTTAGAAAGTCTCCACCTCTATTCTTCCTACCAAATTGCATAACCTCACTTTTTGACGTTGTATTCCATCTGCCTCTTTTGTCTGCTATCTCAGCCTGTGTAAGTCCTTATAGCCTCCATGCTCCCTGTTCCTCCACCTATCTTTGTGTCATCTGCAAACTTAGTGACAATGCCCTCAGTTCCTTTGTTCAGATTGTTAATGTATCATGTATGTTTGTGGTCCCTGCATGGACTCCCGTGGAACTCCATTAATCACCGAATGCCAACCTGAAAATGACCCCTTTATCCCCACTCTCTGCCTGTCAGCCAATCCTCTATCCATGCTGGTACTTTGCACCTAACTAATGACCTCTTCCCTATCCAGCCGTCTCCTGTGCTGCACCTCATCAAAGGCTCTTCTGGAAATCCAAATAGATCACATCCACTGGCTCTCCCTTGTCTAACTTTGCTCGTTAGCATTTGCTGTTCTCATTCAACGCATCAATCTGTTTCCAGCTGCTTCCTTTTGAGCCCCCAGAATGCAGGCCTTTAGATGGAAGGACTTGACCATGAGTCCCATTAGTTTTCCTAGTAGTACTTGGCTAGTCAGAAGTCCCACAGCACAAAGCTATAGTCACTTCACCTGATGAAGGAGCAGAGCTCCAAAAGCTTGTGATTTCAAATTGAGCTGTTGGACTGTAACCTGGGGTGTGAGACTTCTGACTTCGTCCACCCCAGACCAACACAGGCACCTCCACATCATACTTGGCTATTGACGGTGATTGCATTCCCATCTTCCATCCTTTTGCCCTGCCTCTCAATTGATGCTTTGGTATGAAGACAAATACCAAATACTCAGTGAAAATCTCTGCTGTGTCTTTGTTTCCCATTTTTAATTCCTTAGCCTTGTACTGTAAGGTGGGGACCAGCACCTAGATACTGTTCCATCTTATGAACCTGTAGAAGCTTTTACTGTCTGTTTATATCTTTTTTTAGTTTACGTTTGTACTCCAATTTCTTCTCTTTAAACCATCCTTTGCTTTGTTTCTGACTTTTTTTTCCAAATGATTGGGGCTTTCAATAGTTATTGTAGTATTGTACATCTTTTCCTTTTTGAATTTTATACCACACATAGTTTCCTCAGCCATGGGTACTATGTATTTCTCATGATGTCTTTTTTCAATGGAATATATCCTTGAGAGTTTTGAAAAATTGTCTTAAATATCTGCCACTACTTCTCTGTTTATTTAACCAGTCCACATTAGCCAATTAGTCTTACTTAAAGGATATTGAAGTTTAAAACATTAGTTTCAGACCGCAGTTTCTCACCCTCAGTCTAAATCAAAAATCCTATCATGGACCAAATAGCTATCGACTACCCTGAACGGCTGGGACGCCTTTAGGAGCTAAGTCCTCAGGACTTCTCAAAGTACAGTGTCATGAATTACATTATGGACAATGCATTATATGAAAAATGAGAGCTTCTGTGATTCAATGTGGTTTTCTAATTGTTGAAGGCTATTACTGGCACCTCACATGCTGGCTTGTAAAGTTTCGATGAGCAGAGCTATAATTCCTCCACCCCAGCTATTAACCACTTTGTCCCACCCTCACCAGAGTGGGATCTCAATCTGCCAATAGCACAGCCACAGGACATTACCTCCCATTTATTAAGAACACCTTCCACCATGAAGAGATTGGCCTTGCAGCCACAAGTTGGGGGGGGGGGGGGAAAGGTGGGCATGCAGAATTTCTAAGGGGGGGCGGGATCTGGAGTTCTAGAGCCATAGAGATGGCTGACACGGAAGATGGCCAACACCTGTCCAACTTGTCTGTGCCGACCAGACATCCTAAATTAATCTAGTCCCATTTGGTCCATATCCCTCTTAAACCCTTCCTAGGGAAAACAGTCCCAATCTATTTAGCCTCTCCCTCTAGCTCAAACCCTCCAACTCTGGCCACATCCTTGTAAATCTTTTCTGCACCCTCAAGTTTTACCATATCTTTCCTACAGCAGGGAGACCAAATGGAAGGCAGTATTCCAATTGTGGGCACGTTGCTTCCCTTTTCTAACCAGCTTACCCCATCTACTCACTCCAAAATACCCAATATAGGTGTTGAATAAGGAGGAGTTTGCAGATAGGTATTATGAGGGGCAGGATAATATGCTGTGGCGGTTCGGGACTAGCTGCAGGGAGTCAGTGTGAAGATTGGGGGAGTTACTCTGATATTTAGGGTGACGCTGTAATCCTGAGTGAGTACAGACAGCTGGCTGAGAGTCCATTGGATGAGGGGTGTGGGGAATTAATTTTTTCCCTGTCAAAAAATAATGTTCTGGAAGACTCCTGCTCACTTTGCTGCCTGCAATTGTTCTACCATTCAGTCAGGCCATGGTAACCATTAACTACCATCTCTCTCCCATTGTCTTCCAAATTGGCTGGCATTCTCCGATTGAGAATTAGGAATTGAGATTGCATTGGACTTTCAGAGATAAAATGATAATCGACATATCATACTCTAATCCTCTCTTAAAGCTTCCATGCAGGCAAACCAATAGCATTTAATTTCTTGACTATTCTTAGTGGCAGAAATAAACCTGTTGAAACACAGTTCCATAGCACCAGTCAGCGGGTTTCAATGAGTTGTTCCTTTTTCTTCGCAAGACCTGTTCTCTGAAGCCCTTCTGGTTCTTTCCATAGACATGGACTTGCATGTTAATGTAAGACAAAACTGCAGATGCTGCAAGTCAGGAACAAAAACAGAAATTGCTGCAGAAACTCTGCATACATGGAGAGAAAACAGTCAATGTTTCGGATCCGGTGACATTAAGAACTGGGTTTGTCTCTCCACAGAAGCTGCCAGTCCTGCTGACGTTCTCCAGCCATTTCTGCTTTTGTTTCAGATTTTCAGCATCCACGGTTCATGGTTTTATTTTAGGATTTACACATTAATTGTTTAGTTTTGCGGTTACTGCTTTGAGGCAACAGCTTACGGTGAATGGTAGGAGAGAATAACTGTCCTCAGGCTTAAGTTACTTGGCTGCAGAAATAAGAGAACAGACCCTGTTTCGCCTGGTCTGGAAGCCTTCTCTTTATCGTTCTTTCACCCAAGCTGTTACCCTGCCCGGAAGCCAGTGCTGGTGGTGCAGTACCTTATCTCTCCTCTCCCACTCCTTGAACAAAGCAAGAATGTAAACACAGCTCACAATGCATTCCAGTGACTTGTTCTCAAACTGCAGCCACTCCTTCCCTAGTCCTTGATTTTTTTTTTAAGCATTCCCTTTTCCCATTTTAGTCCACAGTCAAAGACACAGTAAAGTTTTTTTTAAAAAATGCAGTCCTTTCATCCCCTTTCCAAGCCCTTTCCCCGTAACCCTCGATTTCCCCAACTGATCAAGAATCTGTCTATCTCAGCCTTAAATATACACAAGGACTCTGCTCCCACAGCTCTCTGTGACAAGGTGTTCCAATGGCTCTCAACCCTCTGAGAAGAAATTCCTCCTCATCTCAGTCTGAGACAGTGCCCTCTGGTCCTGGAGTCTCCCACAAAGGGAAACATTGTCTCAGCATTAACCTGTCAAGCACCTTAAGAATCCTGGAGATAACAAGGTATAGGGAGCTGAATGATCTCAGATCCTCCTGCATCGGCAGTTCCTACTATCTCACCTTAAGAATCCTGTATATTTCAATGAGGTCATCTCTCATTCTTCTAAACTCCAGTGAGTAGAATCCCAACCTGTTCAGCCTTTGTTCATAAGGTAGTCTTATTGTTGCTGGATAATGGGGCCAGAGAGCTTCTGAGCTTCTTAAGAAACAGTCCACTGTAAGTATGTTCCCTCAACAACATTTACATTTATGAAGCACTTTGAACACTAAGGACCCTCGGTGTGTTTCATATCAAGGTGGTCAATGTGATAGATTTTAAAGCAGGAGAGATTGGGACAGAGAGATTTACGGAGGGAATTCCTCAGCTTGGGACCGAATCAGCTGAAGGCAAGGCTGCCAGTGGTGGAATGATAGGAATCAGGATGTTTAAGAGACACAAATGGGAGGGGTGCAGAGATCATGGGGTTGGGGGGTGGGGCGGGGTGAGGGGAAGAAATGTTACAGTTATTGATAGTTTGACCTCAGCTGCAGGACCAAGGGCAGCTCTGAAAACGAGGATAAAATAATTTGATTATGATTAATATAATTACACTGTCCCCCATCAAATACACCCAGGACAGGGACAGCATGTTTTTAAAAAATTATTCATTCATTCATGGGAGGGCGTTGCTGGCTAGGGCAGCATTTATTGCCCGGGGGCAGTTAAGAATCAACTTGGAGTCACATGTAGGTCAGACCAGGTAAGGATGGCAGTTTCCTTCCCTAAAGGACATTAGTGACCCAGAGGGGTTTCTCCCCACAACATTCGACAATGGATTCATGGTCATCATTAGAGTCTTAATTACAAATATTTATTCAATTCAATTTTCACCATCTGCCCTGGTGGGATTTGAACCCGGGTCCCCAGCAATAACACCACTAAGCCATTGCCTCTCCCTTAGATAAAGAGTAAAGCTCTCTCTACACTGTCCTGACCAAACCTTCCCAGGACAAAAACAGCAGTGTTAGATACAGAGTATAAAACAGTTTATGCCTGCGCAGAGAGAATCTGAAGGGTGTTGCTATCTGACAAGATGCTGCTGCTATCTCCAGGATATGTACTGACATGTTGAGAGGGGGTAATATTGCCAAACCTCCCACCCTGTACCCCGTCTCGGTTCTGGTCATGGCAGAGGTCCTGGTCAGGTGAAGGATTCAGTGTCCAAACAAGGTAATTGGGTCACGTCTTTAACTGAGGCCTCCGAATGTAATCCGTTGTAAACGGATTGCAGTGGATTTCCACAGACCTGCCTTTGTTTGGGAGCGGTGCTGGGAGCTGAGTTCTATGTACCTTAGGAAGCTCGCAATGT